GGTCTTTTCCAAGATTTGGCGTATTGTGAATACCTGATCTATGGTGGTTTTTCCAGGCCTAAAGCCACACTGATAAGGTCCAATCAGCTCGTTGACGGTGGGCTTCAGTCTTCCGCACAATACACTCGATAAGACCTTATAACCTATGCTTAGAAGGCTAATTCCGAGGTAGTTGGCGCGTATGGCGGGGTCGCCTTTCTTGTGGATTGGGCAGAGCACACTTAAATTCCAGTCGTCGGGCATGCGTTCATCTGACCATATTCTGCATACGAGCTGATGCATGCACCTCATCAGCTCCTCGCCGCCGTACTTGAATAGCTCGGCTGGCAGGCCGTCAGCTCCAGCAGCTTTGTTGTTTTTCAGCCGCGTAATCGCTATTCGTACCTCGTCATAGTCAGGCGGTGGGACAGCTACTCCATCATCATCGACTGGGGACTCGGGTTCGTCTTCCTCACTACTTTCAGCGCTGCTACCATTCAGTAGGTTATAAAAGTGTTCCCTCCACAATTTAAGTATATTCTGGACATCGGTCACTAGGTCGCCATTGTTGTTCTTACAGGAGTTCGCCCCGGTCTTGAAAACTTCCGTAAGTCGCCTAACCCTCTGGTAGAATTTTCGGGCGTTCTTCCTGTCGGCCAGCATCTCAAGCTCTTCGCACGCACGTATTTTGGCCTCTCTCTTCTTATTGCGGCAAATACGTCTCGCTTCCTTCTTCAGTTCCCTATAACGGTCCCACCTGGCTCGCGTTTCGCATATACCTTACTTCACATATATTCCAGGTGCGTTGATTCATGTTAATGCTGCCTCAGTCTTCATTTCAGCAAACTCCAAGTCCCAGTGAGGTGTAGCATATGTGGACCATTTTCACCTAGTTTAATGAAATGAACGCCTTTTTCACATCTAGCGATAGACAATACTGCTCCGAGCCATCGTGATCCTAATTTCACTCAAAGCTACATATGTAACTGACACTTCTTTATCCATACTGATTGGGCGAAATTCCTTCCTTGTGCAGTACTAGCTGCTAAAAATACCATTTCTAGTGGGGTTCTGTACTAGAAATGCAATGCTTTGGGGTGGGCGATATTGAATCAGACACGACATGTTACTCGTTCCTTTTAGATATAAATATTCTGGAGAGAAGTTTCGAGGGATCGAACCCAGGTTCTACAAAGTGGAGCTACGTATATCTAATCACTCAGCCACATCGGTCGTTTGGTACTATACGCTCTAGAATTTTACTGTCTTTGTGTAACAAGCAAGCAGATTGGTCGATGCATTACACGTTGTGTAGCTTCTGAGGCTAGGGGTGCAATACATATGTAAGTTTTTTGTTTCCAAATCGTTGGAAAAGCGCCTTACGCGAAAAATAGGTACATTGAATACAGCAACACACGAGTCAAGTAAATGCTTAGGAGGATTGTACATACATACTGTATCCAAACGGCTTATCGGTAATAAAATACAATTCGATTAAGTAGGACGTGATAAAATAAAACGAATCAATTTTACAAGAATTTTACGATTACTTAACATTAAAGTTTAATACCTTTCCACCTTCCGTTGGCAGAGGTACAAAATGAAAACTTTAATTGCTTTTTTGGGATTTTTGGCCTTATTGGTGGCTATCGCAAATGCATCGAAAGTACGCTATGACAATTTTAAAGTATTCAAAATTAAAACCCAAAATCTAGAACAGCGACAAATAATCGAAAAATTGGCCGAAAATACAGAAAGTGTTGGTATGAAAATGTATTAGTACAAGACATTCAACACATACATATAGAAGTACTGGCTATCAAAACTTAGCGAATGGTGAATTTTTTTTTAAATATACACAATGTTATTCAAGTAAATTTTTTGTGTTATATTTTATAAAATTATTGTGCACTCTTGGACCAAAACCATATGCATCAAACTTTCAAACTTTTTACAAAATTTCGAAAAATTTAACAAATTTTCATCAAAGTTTTTAACTTGTTAAATGGATTTTTAGGCATGCAGTTAGATGGTTCAGTGTAATTTATTAAAGCTGGCCTTGATTTCTTGATTTTTGTTTTGCAAACGAGCTTGCGCATTTTCTCCCACAAGAGTTTCATTTTCGTATGGAAAAGAATGCAAAAATCCGCCAGCAAAAAAAAAAGTTTCAATGTGATTTTTTAATCGTTAAACTTGCACTTGTTTTACTAAAGTTTTATGAACCATGCAACTGCATACCGAAAAATTTTCTAAAGATTCATATTAAAAAGTTAAAAAATTTAAAAATTTTTTATAATGTTTGAAACACTGATTTATGTTCATTACATTTACTCTCCATACAAAAAAATCAGCTATATTTCTCCATCGGAAATACAAATGATATTTTAAACCTTTTGAGACTATTTGATACTACTTCCAAAAATCAAGTTCTTTATAAATGAAATTAATTATTAAATATTTTTTCTGAAAATCAGCTCAGATTGTAAAAGAGTTAAAGTTTAAAAGGTTTGCATAAAAAGGTTTAAAAACTGTATCACTGCAATCAAAATAAAGCGTTTTTGGAGGAATTTTCAAATCAGTGTGGCTCGCATTAATCTTAGTAGTTTTTCGAAACACTTTGGCGGAGGTCTTAAAGTAAAATAAATTTTTTAATTTCGGTAGGTAACTGCGTTTTTTTTTTTGATAATACACCCTACATATGTATATGGCTTTTGTTAAAGCATTAACTTTATTTTCAAAAAAATAGAAAATAAATCCTATATACATATCAACAAAACTGTAACTTGAAAAACATTGTGAACATTTGCAAAAGATCCACCATTCTCTCAGATTTGATCGCCAGTATATCATCAGCTTATGGGTATTTGTTATTTTTTCTTTTAGCTGTTACTTGGTAAAGTTTTAGACGTTTAGTGTATTAACATAACTGCATATTATCCATGGCTAATTAACAAACAAGCTTAAATTTTTCTGTTAGTTGAATTCCTTCTGTACATATTTGTTAATAACGAATCAAGCTTTTTTACATCGTAGTATAATTTATGGCACAGCGATGATAAGGAAGTTCATATTATGGTAAATCCACAAAAGCTCGTACATCTACAAAACTTGACGCGTTCCTATCAACTACCATTCGAAGTTATGGTCTCCAATGTGCAAGGTGCATGCACATTAGGGTGGTCCAAAAACAATAAAGTCGGATTTGTAATACTCTCATCCCTAGGATTGTTCTATACCGAAAAAAGTATACCCCTATTTTTTATTTTGAAATCAAAAAATATTTAGAGGTCGCTCACAATTTTCCATGTATTTTTATATGGGCAAAAAAACAACCTTACATAGAAATGGTATAGAATTCTTGAAAATATACATTTTTCGATCGAAAAACTCTTGTTCTCTTCAGGAGACTTTCAACGATAATAACCCAATTGTTTATTTAGCCATTTTTTTAATACTAACAGTTTTTTATTGGTTCCCCCCATCGCATTTTTCGGGGTTTTTGGTGCCTGTTTAAGAGGCCTATCCCATTGGACAGTGTCACTATGAGTCATACTTTTGCCTCCACGTTTCCCTCTTGGAGCGTCTAATGAGTTTATCGTATTCAGTGAGTGCAGCCCTATACTCGACCCACTGATGTGGACTTTTTGCACTGTTGAAAAGCTTCCTGACAATTTTGCGCTTTGCATTCAGTTCCCCGTTCCACTAGGGAATCCTACGTTTCATCAAGGAGGAACCGGGAGTTATGCTGCCGCGGATGGATTCTAGCTGGACTTTATTTAGTTCCACTGGCTACTACCTCCAATACGTCGATTAAGCGAATGTGCTCTAGCTCTAACGAGCTTAGATCGCTAACGAGCTGGGATCTCAAATCTTATTTTTGGTGGGAGGTCCTAGCGATGATTCGTCTGAAACTTGCTTATGCTGGTACATTAATATTTTGAAAAAAGTATTATATTTGTCCGTGTGATGAGCAGTCGATAGATGAACTGACCAGCGGTGAGAAGCAAGCAGAGCCATATTAGCTGACCTGCAATCTTCATAAATCCGGATAGTCTAATAGAAGATGTTATTGGCTGCCTTCTCCTTTGTAACATGCTATGCAGTTTTCATTCTGTAACAGACCTAGTTTAAATATGTGAAATGGTGGGAGACAGCGTCTTCTAAGTACCGAAAGCAACTCGCCTTGACAGCGTTAGAAGAATTACGAAAAAAGAGTCTGAATGAACACCAAAAACTAACCAAATGTCTAAATAGTTATTAAGGTGGAAATAATACAAACAGAAAACACAAAGACGTAAAATTAAATTAAGTATGCGATAAGCTTAAAAAAAAAGAAAGCTTCATATAAACTTACAAATTTACTTTTACTTAATATCATGTAAAAAACTACATAATACACTACTAATACACTTTAATTTCGCAGTCTAATTGATGCTGAGCAATCTTCAAAAACTACAGACGATCTATCCTTTGGTTGGACACGCTATTATCCCTTATCAGCTATCGAAGAGTTTTTAGATGAAATACTAGCGGAACACCCGGAAGTTACAAGTGGCATTGATATCGGTACTTCATATGAAGGACGTAAAATACGAGGCATTAAGATCTCATACAAAGGGGGGAATCCTGGTCTCTTCATCGAAACCAATATACACGCACGCAAATGGATCACCTCAGCGACGGCTACTTGGTTCATTAATCAGCTTCTAACATCGACATATGCCGATGTGCGCTATT